AGAGAGAGAGAGAGAGAGAGAAAGAGAGAGAGAGAGAGAGAGAGAGAGAGAGAGAGAGAGAGAGAGAGGGGGAGAGGGGGGAATAAGAGGGGGGAAGAATACAGCGCGCGAGCGAGCGAGGTAGAAGCGAGACTGTTACTATGTCCTATATAGACTAGAGTTTCACTAGCCATCGATCGTTTGTCGACCCCCCGATAATGATGTTTCTGATCGGGGAAAATTCGAGAAGAGAATGAGCGAGCCCCCCATCGCGTAACGTTGTCCTCGTCTACGCGCCGCCAAGATAACAGTGCTTATCTTGAACGCAAGCGAAAGCAGATTTAAGATTGAAAAGAAGGAAGGAAGACGTAATTAATTCGAATCCGCGCCGAACGCGCGTCGAAGATAAAGTAATATAATGCCATTTAAATATTTCCGAAGCTCTAAACGAATCATGAGATGAAGGATTTCGGGGTTTTTTCTTTCTTATTCAATATTTTGCGTAATAATAAACTAGATGAATAATTAATTGAAGTTTAGTCCAGCTGCTACAATTGCTGATGATAAGACGGTATTCTTCACTCTATACATCTACTCTCTGTAATGGCGACTGAAGCTCCGTACACTCACGCGACCATTTCACTTATCGAGTATTCTCAAACATTAATCAACTCAAGGATGGATTAGAGCGAACTGTTATAAATAAAACGTGACAAAGCGCGGATTTGTGACATTATAGTTAGATAATCGCCTTCAGTATGCGTAGGCGAACTTCCACACGGAAGTTTAATACGATTTCATAATACTTTAATACCGTTGATAGTTTTTGAAGTGTTTTAAACACCGTTATTGTTTTATAGCCTTGACGGACATGTGTTCTTTAGTTGAACTAATCCATTTCATAAGAGAACATCCCGCGGCGAAGCCAGTAACGATTTTCGTAATTAGCTCTATCCAACTACAAGGAAAATTCATGAATGCTTTCGTAAGAAATCATCTTTACGGCAGCCTTAAATTCACTAAATAATAATTACGACAAATTTTGCTCGAACGCGCGGCATTATCGCAGCTTCCCCCAATTTCAGAGAAAATGCGTTTAACGGTAAAAATGGCTTCCTATAATTAGATGAGTTACAGATAAACATGGCTCTTCTCACAATGGGCATTAACAGAATTTTGTTATCATTGACGCTAGTCCTTTCATACTTGAAACAAAAAGCTAATACTTCTTTCCTCCCCCCACTTTTTGACAACACGTTTTTTACATACGTTCAACAAGTAGCTTACAATTTCTCTCATTTAACAACATGCTTATCGCTTTTAACCAGTAGCTAACGCTTCCCCTCCTTAAACAGCATATGAATCCCACCGTACTATTAGCAGTTAACTCTCTCTCTCTCTCTCTCTCTCTCTCTCTCTCTCTCTCTCTCACACACACACTCTCTCTCCCTCCCACACAAACTCTCTAGTTAAACAGCAAACGTGTGCTTCCATACTTTTAGCAACAACGCAAAACTCGTTCTGTGTTGAGACGAGAAGCGAAGCTTCTCAAATGCTCTCTTGCCTACCAAATTCCGATTGGTCCATGAAGTCACGTGGCTTTGTGCCATCGGTTCCTGAAGCAATTAAACGTCTGTCACGTGTCGCCGAGGTTCCTTGTTTTCATCAGGTCGGTCCTTGAGGTCAGGTCCTTGTGGCGCTTTCGGTGATCGAGGTTTGCCAATATGTGATTGTTTGTTCACAGTCGGTTGACTTTTCTACTAACCCTCCCCAATTAATTATCGCAAAGATAATTTATCAACAGTAACCAGATGCGATCGAACTTTCTTTAATTGTCGAATAGAAGCGACGCGCGCCGTCACAATCCGATGTGCACGCGCCCTAGTGGTGCATGTACGAACTTCAATAGGCGTAAAATTAGTATGGATAGAGCACGCGCGAAGCTATTCTCTCGCGGGATGGGACACTCGTTGTTAGCGTTGTCATGGCAGTTTCTATTGCATTCATCGGCATAATCCAGAGAGACATGATACAAGATTGCGTGGCACAGCTTTGCTGTTGATCCTGAGCGCTGCGCGCGGATGAGACGCGCAGTTCCGCGGGATATGCGCACGCGACCGCGGGGATGTTCAAGCATGAAGCGCTCTCCACAGTGGAGACGTGCGCCAAATTCGAGGCCCGGCGCACGTCTCCACAGCGGTCAGCGGATGGTCTGTAGTTTTAGAAGATAACAATGAAGACTTTGTTCTAAATAAGAACTATCGGCGGCTAAATAAGAGCAATATACAGATCTTTGAATTTCTTGACTAGTCAGTCAAAGGGCTTGTTGGGGGTCCATTATGCAGAGCTTCCAATTGAAATGGCCCATGAAATTGTCACGTGGAATTGTGTTTTTCGGAACCCCAAAGAAAATGTCTCCTTCTTACATGCACCCCCTCCCTGATCAATCACGCATTCAAGCGTAAACAATAACAGAGATGAAATTGTGTTGAGTTTATGGCTCTTGACGCACGTGCATTGACGTACAAGACTGTTGAAAGCACAGGCGCTTGGAACGTCTCAATAAAAATAAATATTCACCCAATTTTTCACAATGATCGACCGCATGTGTGCAAAATAGGTGAACGTATGTGAAACATATACGGTTAGTACTTACTGGGACATATCCGTGACTAACTGACACCACTAAATTGGTAAAATGTTCCATGCACCTTAAGAAATGCTTAGAAATTACGAGGTTATCATCGCAGAACTCCCGAACACCGTACGTCACAAAGCTATATGTAAACTAACACGCGTGTTGCGAGGTGCCTGCCTCCGATATCCATTTCGAGGTCCGCTAAGTCGAGCATAAAGCGCGCGGGCAAGACGTCACACACACACAGCTACGTTCATTGGCTAAAACAATCGAGTAGCGCGGTTAGGAATTTTCGGAATTATTTAATTTGAAGAAAAACTTTAATGTTCAATGAATGACGCACTCGCTCACTTCCGACAGCGAGTAAAAATTCCAAAATTTTTCCACTTCGATGCGAAAGGCATCGGCCGGGCATTTCATTATTTACGAAAATTAAACAGGTTGGCGAGAGACAGTAGGTACAGTAACTGGTCACGTCGGTGACGCCCCATTTATGTCCATCAACGAAGAAGGCGGGGCATATTCTGATTACGGAGATGCCAAAATACAACAGAAGGACGTAGCGCAGTTCGCTAATCAGCGTGTTATTTTCGTATTTGTGGCAAACTCTATCGTAGGAAACCGTTCTAACATAGCAGAATGCGCTAGTTCCTGAAATCGGCGATTTGGTGGTCCAATGGGTCCCCATATTTAAAAATATCAAAGACTGGTGCGGCGTAGGCTGTGATTGGAAGACACAAAGTGTCAATCCTTGGCGCGCCTCGTCATCATGGCCGATGCTCGTCGTCATGCTACTAATACGTCCAACGGTCCAACCATCATTCCGAGCGTAAACTCTCGGGTCGTGTGAAGATGAATTGAGCGTAGAGATTATCAGAACCGGTCAGTATGCCCTATATGTGTGTATATGCTATCAGTAGGTGGCAGCTAGGAGTGCTTGACTAGGAACCTTTGGAGATAGGTGTTGGGTGTGTTGTTTCGATATATGTACCGACGTGCAGGACTGCACATGATGCTTTCGTGCTCGTATAATTTCAGCGCAGCGCAGAACGCCGATACGTAGTCATCCTCTCTCTCGGCTCTCTTCTATTCTTCTCTCTCTCGCATCGTATCTCTCTCCCTTATCTTTCTTATTCTCATTTTCTCTCTTCACTTTCGTACTCTCTTAACTTCAAACTCTCTTTCTCCTCTCCTTCTCGCGACTTCCCTCTTCGTCTGACTGTCCATCGTTCCCGTTCCGTCCTCGTCCCGTCCCTTGCCGTCTCCACTGTCTCTCTCTCTTCTCTCTCTCTCTCTCTCTCTTATCTCTCTCTCTCTCTCTCTCTCTCTCTCTCTATATATATATATATATAGTGTTTATGCAGTAGTCGGTCGTGTAGCTAATAGTAGCGACTGTGCACGGCCATGCACCCTGCAGGGTCGCATCCGCGCCAGCGTCCGTGTCGATGCTGCCAGTGTACGTCACACGCGCCCAGGTTAATTATGGCGCTCGCAGGTAAACAACTCAGCGTGAAGCCGCGCGAGAAAGGAACAGGTAGGGATCGTAGGTAAGTAGTGGACTTCGCAAACGCACGAGGCGAGCTAGTCTTACGAGAGTAGAGACAACGAGAGAGAGAGAGCGCGCGGGCGAGAGAAAGAGAGAGTAAGAGGGCG